ACTCTGATAGGTTCCTATGCATCATGGAATTTGTAGTCCATTGGCAAAAAACACATCCCTTCCTTAAAGCAATGCTTTAAACACCATAACCACTACAGCACACTGAGTACCATGCCTCCACTATTAATAGACAAAATAATTTTAGAATGGTTTGAGTTTTTACCTGGGATCCACCCATCACAGCTTCTCGCCTCCATGACTTTTGTCAGAGAGACGGAAGCTCCTCTAGATTATTGGCTGAGAGTCAACTGTGCAGGACTTAGCTCAGACAGAGTGTTTATTGTGAAAGTTGGGGAGCAGCAACCGGCAGACTCAAGGGGGTTCAGTGTCTTCTCAGTTTGATTACTAATGAGGGGGGGCTCCAAGGTACTCCAGCATGATAACCACTATAAGATGTTGTTGTGGTTGTGATACTTGGAGTGTTCCTTTCAGCTATTGCTTATGCAACACATTCCCATGAGAACATCAGACAAGGGATACAATGTAATGATATATAACTGACCCAGTGAGAAATCTCAGCTATAACTCGAGACACAAAGAGAATATAAATTGTTCGTCTCCATTCTCCATTGAACTGTTACATCAAGACGTCTATGGGATATCTTAGTTGAGGTTGAATAAATTATCACATAGATATGACTTCATGTAATCTAATTTAACTTACCCGTTTATATTTTGTAGTATGTTTGACCGATATATCATTACTTTTAATATACAAAGCAGATTCATGCACTCAGCAGGTAAGATTTGAACATAGTAGACGATAATTAAAACCTTAAGCTTACAAGCATATGTAAGCAGTGGAAGCATGATAAACCAGTTTATTAATAAATGTTATTTAAGAAGTTTTTTTTATTTTGTTTTAGGGATCTGTCCAGGATTTGTAAAAACATGTCATATTGTAAGAGTTGCAAAAAGATGTTGCGATGCCATATGAATCCCATAACCAGGATTTTGAATTTGTATGGGCATAGGCTGACAAAGGATCATGGGTGTTGTAGTTCAACAACTAAAAATCTACATGTTGGTTTAGAGAAGATTGTGTTACTTCCAAATAACAATGCTTGTAGGGAATTCTGAAAGACAAGTAATGGAACATTTTAGATGTTTTTGTAGTGATTTCTCCACATTTAAAAAAACTAGCCCCAGAACTGAACTGTATAAATTATTTCCCTCATTATGGAAACCGTGGGTAGATAGGAATGGTTGGATACAACTTGACAAATGCAGGATAAAAGATAGCAACGATTAATCATTTTCAAAATCAGTACTTGGCATTTGCTTGGATGGACAAGTATATTGGTGACAGCTGTACATAATTTTTATGAATTTGTTTTCAGGTTTGCATAAAAAATGTAGTTTTATCCTTTGGCCTCCATTACCCAATACAATTTGTAATATCTGTAGGTATTTATGTCTGTGTCTCCTTTCTGTAGGCAACAGCAGTGTACCAGAGTCCCTGGGAGAATTTAAAAGTATAAAATGTGCTGTCCCTAACAAACAAAACATAATGTGGAGAAACATTGCATCATATGAGCATATTATAATTAATAATACCAGTCACAATGCAATTTATGACGTTTCAGAACCCCACCGACAGAACAAACAGAAACCAGCTCACTCAGCTATAAACTAGCTGTTTTAAAAAACCCAACTTGGCCAAAATAATGGGGGTTTAGTTACAGTATATGATCATATATTGCCAAAGCCTGCCACAGTCTCAATGGACCTCAGTTTTGGTTTGTCCTACCCTAACAACCTAATGTCCTCCTGGGTCTATATGCAGTGCAAGGTTAAGTAGGGTCCCAGAATGGGCACCTGTGACTGGGAGGGGTTCAAATCTAAGGGAGTTGTGTTATACAATTTGTCCCAGCAGCACCTTAATTATGTATACATGCTTAGGTGAGTGCAGTCCTGTTTCATGTGTGTTTGTTTATTTGTGTGTGTCTCTGTCTCTGTCTCTCTCTCGCTCTCTACACAGTCAAGGGAAAAAAGTACACCCTCTTTAAATTCTATGGTTTAACATATCAGTACATAATAACACTCATCCTTAGCTGGTTTTGAAATTTGGTAAATACAACCTCAGATGAACAACAACACAGGACATTACATCGTGTCATTATTTAGTTAACAAAAATAAAGCCAAAATGGAGAAGCCATGTTATGATTCAATAGCTCATAGAAACCACCTTTAGCAGCAATAACTTAAAGTAATTATTTTCTGAAATGATTTATCAGTCTCTCATATTGTTTTGGAGGAATTTTGGTCCACTCTTCTTTACAACATTGTTTCAGTTCATTGAGGTTTGCTGGCATTTGATATGCACAGCTCTTTTAAGGTTTCGAAACAGCATTTCAGTCGGGTTGAGGTCTGGACTTTGACTGACATTGCAACACCTTAATTATTTTTTTTAGCTATTCTGTTGTCTACTTGCTGGTGTGCACGGAATCCTTGTGCTATTGCATGACTCAGTTTCGGCCAAGCTTTAGCTGTCAGACAGATGGCCTCACATTTGACTCTAGACTACGTTGGTGTACAGAGGAGTTCAGTATAGACTCAGTGACTGCAAGGTTCACAGGTCCTGTGACTGCAAAACAAGCCCAAATCATCACCCCTCCACCACCGTGATTGACAATTGGTATGAGGCTTTTGTGCTGATATAAGTTGTATATATGTTGGTTTTTGTCAAACGTGGTGCTGTGCATTATGGCCAAACATCTCCACTTTGGTCTTGTCTGTTCAAAGGAAAGAGGTCTTTGGTTTCTTCAGATGCAACTTTGCAAACCTTAGCTATGCTGCCATGTTCCTTTTTGAGAGAAGAGGCTTTCCCCTGGCAACCCTTCCAAACAAACCATAATTGTTCAGTCTTTTTCTAATAGTACTATCATGAACTGTAACATTTAACATGCTAACTGAGGCCTGTAGAGTCTGAGATGCAACTCTAGGGCTTTTTGCAATTTCTCTGATCTTGGGATGAATTTGCTGGGACATCTACTCCTGGGAAGATTGTCAACTGTCTTGAATGTTTTCCACTTTTGAGTAATATTTCTCACTGTAGAATGATGGACTTTAAATTGTTTGGAAATGGCCTTTTAACCCTTCCCAGTTTTAAAGGGGTTGTTTCTTTAAAATCATTGCTGATGTCTTTCCTACTTGGTATTGTGTTAGCCACACCTGAATGCTCCAGACCAGCAAAATGCTAAAACTTTGTATATGTGTGTGTATGTATATATATATATATATATATTTATATATTATACTTGTATACCTGTATTGGACATAAACATTGATAATTACTTTATGTGAATAAAGATTACATGCAACATACAAAATCCAGCCCACTAACTCATTCAGTAAACGACAATTTCAAAGCTCACAGAATGTAATTGTTTTCTTTAAAAACACCTAACTCATAACAATAATTGTTGTTTAGTTACAGTATATGATCATGATCATATACTGAAGAAGACTATTAAAGAATACTATTGCATTCTGTATGTATATGTTGTAAATGTTTTTTCTCTGTGATTGTCTGAGAGTGCTAGCTGACCTCTTTCAGCCTATCACAGCGCCCACTGTTGGCATGAATTGGTATAGCTAGAAGGAATTGCGTAATCCCTGCCATAGCCATGCCTCTAGTATGGATTTAGGGTGCTGGTATGCAGGAACCCTTAATTAGTGTTAAACTGCTCCAAAAACAGTTTAACGCTGACTAGAGTGACATTGATAGGAGACTGCAGTTACTAAAACTAAAACCGATTCAATGAGATAAAATGGTTATAGTGCCTACCTTTTCTCTACCGTGGTTTTTTTTTGCAGCAAACCTTGTTCATAACAAATTGATAGGATGCAGGAAAAGCTGAGAAAGCTCTGAGTGATACACACTTCATAACCACATATGCAACTCTAATATCATTAATCTTTGGAGACTGGTCAAAAGACAAAGGAAAATCCTTATAGGACATTGTCTATTGAATCCTGCATATAAGTATTTTATGTGTGTATTCACCGTGCGGTGTATTGGTTATTTATTAAATTGATGATATAGTCATATTGAACTTTTTTTCTTCTTCTTGGCTTATTATAGCATGCTGATGATGACATCTTCTTCGGAGTTTCCAGAATACATCTTTATTATTAGTTGCAGATTACTTCTTCCCTTTCTACATAGTGTAAGCAAAGACAATGAGGGATGGAAAATAAATCAAGAGTGACTGAATTTTATATCATTGGGTTCTCTGATGTCCCCCAGCTCAGGATTCCTCTATTCTTGCTATTTTTACTCATGTATGTTATTACTCTTCTTGGAAATGTAATAATTATTTTCATTATTTGCTTTAATCATCACCGCCACATGCCTATGTATTTCTTTTTGTGCAACTTGGCTTCTTTGGATATATCCTTCACCTCAGTGACAGCACCAAACCTGTTAAACATCTTTATCACAGGAAATAAAAGAATATCTATTATTGGGTGCATGACACAACTTTATTTTTTCCTGGGTTTCGCCAGTGCTGAGTATTTCCTGCTCACAGTCATGGCTTATGATCGCTTTGTGGCTATTTGCAAGCCCTTGCATTATCCCCTCATTTTTAATAAGAATTCATCTTGCAGGATGGCTGTTGGTGCCTGGGTGATTGGCTTTGTAGGTTCCATTCCATTGATTATCTTCATTTCCAGCTTGGACTTCTGTTCCTTGAATGAAGTCAACCATGTATTCTGTGACATGATGCCCTTGCTCAAGCTCTCATGCAGCGACACAACTTTCATCCAAATGATTATGTTTTCAGAAGGTGTGTTTCTCGTGCTGACCTGCTTCATGCTCACCCTCACTTCATATTGCTTTATAATCTCCACTATTCTGAAGATTCGCACATCAGAAGGAAGACACAAAGCCTTCTCTACCTGCTCCTCTCATCTCTCGATTGTTATCTTATTTTATACGGTAATATTCTGTTTGTATATGAGACCACCTTCATCATATCAGCTCAGTCAAAGTAAAGCAACATCTGTCCTCTTTGTGCACATAGTTCCGATGTGCAATCCAATAATATACAGCTTGAGAAATAATGATATGAAGCAGGCCCTCAGAAAAGCATTACATGACTTTGCAAAGAGGTACTTTGATGGCCATTGAATTGTAGACCCTTGATATCACATGTTCACAAACCTTTACCTGCTCATTAAGAAGTTCACATAATGCATTTCTGATTTATAAAGCTGATAGTCATCTACACCCTGTTGCAAATTATTATGCAAATGATATTTTTCTCATTTACCTAAATAATTGATGTAAATAACAGTCAGCATAATTCTCATGTTATCAACTATTAAGAGTACAATTCATATTTTATTGAACAAACCTTCTAATGATAACAGTATTTTTTTTAAACATAAAAAACTTACAATGCACTGTTCCAAATTATTACGCACAGTAAGTTTCAAAACACTTTATAGGTTGTAAAGAACTGAAAATTGTCATTTGTTGTGTTTGCAGCATATTTACTAAAATCAAAAGCTATTTCAATCAAACTTATAACAACATTTTAACTTTTTAAACATTTTAACAGGTCACGTTACATTTTAACATAGGACCCCTTATTTGATAGCAGCTTCACAAGTCTTGCATCCATTGAACTTGTAAGTTTTTGGACAGTTTCTGCTTGAATTTGTTTGCAAGATGTCAGAATAGCCTCCCAGAGCTGCTGTTTGGATGTAAACTACCTCCCACCCTCATAGATCTTTTGCTTGAGGATGCTCCAAAGGTTCTCAATAGGATTGAGGTCAGGGGAGGATGGAGGCCACACCATGACTTTCTCTCCTTTTATCCCCATAGCAGCCATTAATGGAGAGGTATTCTTTGCAGCATGAGATGGTGCATTGTCATGCATGAAGATGATTTTATTACGGAAAGCATAGTTCTTCCTTCTGTACCAGGTGTCAGGATCGTGACAGGGATCCAACACGCAGAATACAAACAGGAGATAGGTACGTATACCGGACCTTAGAATGGCCGGACTAATGTAAGGAGAAAGCAAAGAATGGTCAGAGACAGGCCGAGGTCGAGGGAACGAGAGAGTAGGTAAGCGAGAGACAAGTCGAGTCAAAAGGACAAGAGAGGAAAGCAGGGTCAAAAAATACAAGCCGAGTCAGGAACCAAAAGACAATAGAGGTAAGAGCACTGAGTGAACAGACTAGCTAGAACCACGACAGGGCAATGAATCATTCCACAAAACCCTCTTTTATACCTTGGCTCTTTAACTGTTGGCCCCGCCCCCAACGAGTCCTGATTCGTTGTTCGGCACTTGGTTGCCGTGATTGACGGGTCGGAACGTGATTGCCGTCATGACGTCGGCTACTGAGCGCCGCGTCATAAAAGGAGGCGGAGCTATCGCGGCCGGCGTGTAAACGGCCGGGAGGACTGCGAGGATCGGGTGAGTCAGCCCCCCTAGGAGGATGGACGTCTAGGTGTCTAACCTCCTCCGAGGTAGACACCAGAGGTAACCTGACACCAGGGAAGAAAGTGGTCAGTCAGAAATTCCACATACTTTGCAGAGGTTATCTTTACACCTTCGGGGACCCTAAAGGGGACGACCAGCTCTCTTCCCATGATTCTAGCCCAAAACATGACTACACCACCACCTTGCTGATGTCGCAGCCTTGTTGGAACAGGGTGGCCATCCACCAACCATCCACTACTCCATCCATCTGGACCATCCAGGATTGCACGGCACTCATCAGTGAACAGGACTGTTTGAAAATTAGTCTTCATGTATTTTTGATGTATGTATGATTCCCTTTTATTCCAGAAGTTTGGTCCTTAACCCCTTAAGGACACATGACATGTGTGACATGTCATGATTCCCTTTTATTCCAGAAGTTTGATCCTTAAGGGGTTAAGGGGTTAATAATATGGAACACCCTCCTTTAGTAGTTTTTCCTTAAATTGGGCTCACCTAGCAATCTAATTATCACAGGTGTCCGAGATTGTTTTCAGTGATCAAAAGAGCCCTGAGACACAATGCCATCCATGAGTTAAACTGAAAAACAAAATATTTAATCTTTGTGACACTGAAATAGAATTTGCATAATAATTTGGAACAGGGTGTAGTTTGGATATTACATTTTTGCCCACAAAACTTATTTTGATTTCTAATATGGTCAGAACCACCCAGAAGTCGCCATTTGTACACAAATTATAGTAAACTTTGGTTTTCTAAGCAAATTTCCAATGTGTAGATAATGTATAGCTGTTAAACTTTGATAACACATGTTTAAAAGAAAGCTTACAATGTATATTCCTATTTTGAAGATGACATACATGGGGTATTCCTGAGAAATCAAATAAATAATTTGCTCAAGTGGTTGTCACCATGTAATAAATATATATTTTTTCCTCCCTAATGAATTGTTATTATGTTGTGGTGTTGTTTGAATTAATAATCTGCTGATTAATGTATGAATAGAAAGCTTACATCCTCAATGTGACATTTTCTTGAGCAGCCCTGTGTCTCCTCATTATTATTGTTATAATATTTATATAGCGCCAACAACCGTGGCGTAGCTAGCTAGAGCTTTTGCCGCCCGTGACTGCCCCTGAGTTTGCCGCCCCTATCTTGACCCACGTCATGTCTGGTGTAGTCGTAAATGTCTGTGGCTGCACCAGACATACCTCTTTTAGGTACTTAACGCCTCAAGCTTTTTTTAAGATATACCTCCAATGAATCCAGGGGTAGAGGGGATCTGGGTATCCACTGATTGCCATGATATCTTTGCCACAAACCATGAATACTCTGCAAATTTAGAGGAAGATATCTAGAATTGCTAGATTCAGTTACAATAATACCCTGGCTGCAAAATCTTTACTTGACTTAACTAAGATTGGGGGGGTGTGGCTAACTGCCGAGCTTAATGGTCGCTTAAACATGAGCTCCGGCAAACAAGGCCTGCAATCCATACCAATCTGGACATATAGGACCTGCAAATCACCAAAATAATAGATGGCACAACATAAAACGAAAAAAGGCTCTGCCATAAATGAAAAACTAAACTTCTTTGGCAACAAACAACAAATAGAAGCTGCGGACCTCCAACGGCCCTCACAAGATGGCGATGCCAGCCTGAACATCAAAACTCCCAGCGCGATATGGATCAATCCATGGCGACAGATCAACTTACCAAAAGCCACTTACAAATGGCGCTCGACAATCTCTCACAGAAGCTCATTATGTCCTGGAAACACACAAGAGATGTACAAAAGATCAGCAAAAGAACATTACAAACAGAAGCCAAAATGGATCACTTCGCCACGGCGCATTATGATTTGGCATTCCACGTAGAACAACTCGAGCAAAACTCAAACTTTCCGCCATGACACTACGCAGGAGGAAGAACTTTTCCCATATTGCAGATAGACTATGAGCAAGCGGAATGCGCTTCAGATGGGGATACCCCACCAAAATCATAGTCTCACGGGAAGGAGCACTACATACAATTTCTGTAACGGATCACCTGGCACCCCGACTGGGTACCTCCGTTAAAGGATGCTCCTAGCGCTTCCAGAGGACTCCAAGCACCGCAGCAGACACCACAACCACCGAACCAGAGAAACATACAAATGCTCTCAAGCATATGAATGCTGTAAGCAGCTGAACAGGAAAAGCATACAATCAGCTTACACTCCTGGCAATCAGCATACAATCCAATTCCCCCAATAACGAGACGACACTTCGTTTTGAGGTCAAGCAGAACTGACTGTACTGGCACATACAGCCTCTTTTATTCACAATCCACAAACATAGTACTGCCCACAGGGTTTTTGAAAACAACCAATAAACACGTACAATACACTCAGACACTCCCACACAAAATCCTCCCCTCTGCCTGTGATACAATTACCTTACACAATGGGTAATGTAATTATCACCGGCAGAGAAATACAGTTTTTCCACATTATTCATAACTTTAAAAGTATGCATCACATTCACATAAAACATACGAATGCTCTCAAGCATATGAATGCTGTAAGCAGCTGAACAGGAAAAGCATACAATCAGCTTACACTCCTGGCAATCAGCATACAATCCAATTCCCCCAATAACGAGACGACACTTCGTTTTGAGGTCAAGCAGAACTGACTGTACTGGCACATACAGCCTCTTTTACATTTTCTGAATCAGCATACTCCAAATACAAACATATGTCAAAATCATCCAAATTGGTCCATTGGTTCAAAAGATAGATCGAAGTCCAAAACCAATTCCACAGAGTCTTCTATCCTGGAGATAATTGAGAAGTAATCTAATTATCTCCAAGGACAGAGGCAAAACTCCATTAAGCACATGGCAGTAAAAAGACAGTAAAATACAATAAAATACACAAGGTTACATTTATTACATAAAACACAGACATGCAACATATCCCCAGATAGCTTAGGTCTGAGTGCACATTATTACTGAATGGCGATCAGACCACACACATACAGTTCAATTGCCATGGAGCCAAAGTCTTTTATTACACGAATAGGCTCCATGGCATAGCTATCTGGGTTAACCCCTTAAGGACGGAGCCAAATGTACATGTTGTGAATAAAACAAAATGTAAACAAAACCTGGCATTTGCGCTACATGTCTGTCCAACCGTAATTCACCTCTTTCATAGTAAATGCACCCACCCTTATTATATATCATTTTATTCAGGGGAAACAGGGCTTTCATTTAATATCAAATATTTAGCTATGAAACATAATTTAATATTAAATACGATTTTTTTAAATTTTTTTAGTTCTACATGACATTTTAACGGTCAATGTCATAATACTGTTTGCTTTTACTGCAATAGAATACACATATTTGTATTCAGCAAAGTCTCACGTGGAAGACAGTACCCCCTATGTACAGGTTTTATGGCATTTTGGGAAGTTACAGGGTCAAATATAGCACGTTACATTTGAAATTGAAATTCGCCAGATTGGTTACGTTGCCTTTGAGACTGTATAGTAGCCCGGGAATGAAATTTACACCCATAATGGCATACCATTTGCAATAGTAGACAACCCAAGGTATTGCAAATGGGGTATGTCCAGTCTTTTTTAGTAGCCATTTGGTCACAAACACTGGCCAAAGTTAGCGTTAGTATTTGCTTGTGTGTGAAAAATGCAAAAAACGCCAATTTTGGCCAGTGTTTGTGACTAAGTGGCTACTAAAAAAGACGGGACATACCCCGTTTGCAATACCTTGGGTTGTCTACTATTGCAAATGGTATGCCATCATAGGGGTAATTTTCAATCTTGGGTTACCATAGGGTCTCAAAGGCAACCTAACCAATCTGGCGAATTTTAAGGTGAAAAAAATAAAACGCAAGCCTTATATTTGACGCTGTAACTTTTGAAAACACCATAAAACCTGTACATGAGGGGTACCGTTGTACTCGGGAGACTTTGCTGAACACAAATATTTGTGTTTCAAAACAGTAAAAAAAAGTAAAAAGTATCGCAGCAATAATATCGTCCGTGTAAGTGCTGTTTGTGTGCGGCAAAAAAGGCAAAAAACGTCACTTTTACTGGCGATATCATCGTTGTAATACATTTTACTGTTTTGAAACACTAATATTTGTGTTCAGCGAAGTCTCCCGAGTAGAACAGTACCCCCCATGTACAGGTTTTATGGTGTCTTGAAAAGTTATAGGGTTAAATATAGTGCTAGCAAATTAAATTCCCTTTACTTTTGGCATGGGTTGTCAGGCAGGTCCTGCTAATTGTAATTAATTAAGATACCTAATTGTGTAAAAATATTACATAAATATATATGTAGAATTAATATATGTATATATATACGTATGTGTATATATATGTATATATCTATATAATTTTTTTTAATATTTTTATTTATATATAGGTATATATATAGTGATATATACGTATATATTTATGTATATATATATATTATTTCGTTCTACGTGTATTTTGATATATATATATTAATTTCACAATACAGTTAGAACGAAATAAAACACATCTATATATTTTTTAATTATTTATTTTTAATTATTTTTTTAATTTTATTTTTTAACGTATTTACATATTTACTGTTACTGTTTTGAAACACTAATATTTGTGTTCAGCGAAGTCTCCCGAGTAGAACAGTACCCCCCATGTACAGGTTTTATGGTGTCTTGGAAAGTTATAGGGTTAAATATAGTGCTAGCAAATTAAATTCCTTTTACTTTTGGCATGGGTTGTCAGGCAGGTCCCGCTAATTGTAATTAATTAAGATACCTAATTATGTAAAAATATTACATAAATATATATGTAGAATTAATATATGTATATATATACGTATGTGTATATATATGTATATATCTATATAATTTTTTTAATATTTTTATTTATATATAGGTATATATATAGTGATATATACGTATATATTTATGTATATATATATATATATTATTTCGTTCTACGTGTATTTTGATATATATATATTAATTTCACAATACAGTTAGAACGAAATAAAACACATCTATATATTTTTTAATTATTTATTTTTAATTATTTTTTTAATTTTATTTTTTAACGTATTTACATATTTTTTTTATATTATATATAAATATTTATATAACAATAATTATATATATATTTAATCAGTATCAGTCTACGTGTAATTTGATATTAATATATATATATAATTATATATATATTAATAGGAAAATACACCTAGACAGTGTACGTGAGTGTATGTATATGTGTATATATATATACTTAGATCATATATATATATATATATAATATATATACATATATAATCTAAGTATATATTATTATATTTTTTACACTTTTTAATTTATTTAATTTTATTTTCAGCCAGCAGGGGGACCACCTGTCATTACAGGCAGCCCCCCTGCTGGCAATGCAGGAGGCAGCTACCCCTGGCCATGTGATTGTGGGGTCCTCGCAAGGACGCTTCCAGGACATCGGACGTGACACGGGGGCTCCCTGGGAGTCCCCCCAACCGTGATCGCCGGCGACCGGGTAAGTAGGAAAAGACCGGAGGGCGTACTATTACGCGTGGCGGCGTTTAGAGCCGCTTAAAATAAGGCATAATAGTACACCATCCGGTCTTAAGGGGTTAAATTAGTTCATTCAGTAAATCCGAGAATCTACCGAACGCCATGGCAGAAATACATGAATAGACCTTTCTGCATAGGAAAATAAAGTATTTAAATGCCGGTCCATAGTCAAAAGGCAGGAGACAGGCAACCAGGCTCCTCCAGTGCACAGTGGAGAGGTTGGTTCCGCCACATTTTTCCCCTTTACCAATCAGACTAACAGGGTATCTGACTTCCTGTCGGTCAGTGCCCTGGTTAGTCCAGCAACCCACCCACAGAACACAATCAGCAGTACAGCCCACCCACAATAAAGAATTACTACACCTGAGATAGTGGGTCGCTTGTCCATGTCCAGGAGCTCCACCTCGGCTCTGGGGGGTACTAGCACTCCGGATCGGTGGGTAGGCAGAGACCAGCGGCAGGCAACCAGGCTCCTCCAGTGCACAGTGGCGAGGTTGGTCCCGCCACAATTTCCTCCCCAGAAGAAGGCACAAAAATGCTACAAACATGGGGCATTATAGAACACACGGTGGAAAAAAATTCATCACCTCCTCAGCGCCTGCAGGTAGAATGGAACATGGTACCTGCCCGGAGAGACGGACACTAACTTGAAATAACGGCATCCCAACAACAGTAACTCAGATAGGCATACGAAATGCCTCTGACCTTGGGTATCTTCCATCTGACATTAGATCACCCACCGCCCAATCCAGGACTTTGAAGAAAGGCACATACATCTGAAACAGGTCTACGACCTCAAGACCACAGAATCTAAAGACTTAACTAAGATTGTCCAGTCTAGGCAGTCTACGCCCACAGTAGTGGTAACAATACCAGGAGTACCCTGGCAATGTTCCAGTATGTGCAGTTATCAAATGATTTGATACTTACCTGGGTCTCCCTTTGTGCTTCAGTCCAGCTTACTCAACTTGTATGTCTAAAGTGGAGGTTTTCCTTCAATTCTATCCTTTTTGGATGGAAATCAGTGGCTGAGAGTGCCAGTTGTCCAATTTTATTTATATATAGGCAGAAATTACATTAATAATGTGTAAGCAGAAGCATTAAAAGGTTACTCCTGGCACCATGCAGTGTTTTGCTATGAAATGCTTCACATATCGAGTTTAACCTCTCTGCTGCCGAAGGTGTAACTCCACCTCTGGCAGAGTAACTGAGGTGTCATCAACCAGCCTGAAACTTCTTCTGGGCTGGCTTCTGTCAATTTGGTGCAGTCTTT